GCAGAGAACTTAATGAGAAATACAGACCTCAATGTAGAACAGCAAATGTCTCGAACAATTTGACAGTATTCATATACTTAATACTGTAAATATTAGCAGCATACTGCTGTTTTTTACTCCTTTTGTGATTAGAAGTACTAATACTAAAATAATAAAATGGCTGTAACAATGAATTTCTTTGCCCCACTTAGCTTATGATTTTCTACTGTATTCTAAGGACAGTGATTTTTTTTTTTTTTTTACATGTTAACTTGTATATTATTTGGGATATTGAACTATATAATTGAGTTATTGCTGATACTGTCTGAAATCTTACCATGCTAATTAAAAATTAAAAAACCCTGTTTGTCATGTATATTTATTCTGGATCATTTTAAAGACTCTTATACAATGCTGTGTACACGTATAAAGGTACCGTTTAGTTGTGAGGTTTCGCTTACAGCTTTTTGCTACACCAGAGAAACAGGTTTTCATTTCTACTGAAACATGAATTCATTCTACTTATTTTAACAATGTGACCTTGAATAATAACTTTGACAGAAACATTTAAGAGCTCAAAACTTGAGAAAGTTGTACAGATTGGAACAGCTTCCTGAGTGTTTCAGTGAGAAAGAGACATTGGCACCTATTATTTGTGTTACTTTGCACACGTGACAACTGTGTTGATCAGAACATCAGAGCATGACTGGAATCCAGTAGTTCACTTTGAACTATTGCTAGATATATCAACAGTAGAAACTTAACATCCATCCAGTTCCTAACATAGCACTGTCAGCACAGCTGGCCCCCATACTGCCTGTCTCTGCAAAGGAAACATGACAAGACAGCTACTTTTCATGGACCAATTAAATCTAACTTTGCTTGCTTGCCCAGGGAGACTTTGCATGGTTTATGTCCATGCTAGGCAAGATCAGATGTGCCTAGGGTTTAGAAACAAGCTAGCTGGTATGCCAAGAGCCAGCTTGTCAACCAGATAAGAGGCTGCCCCTTATAATAGGATGCAGACACATGCATTGGTCTGCTTTCATCAGTCAATTTCACAGTTAGACCCAGAGTTTTGGTGCTGCTGGGTTTTATTCCTTCTTTATAATTTGCCCCATAAAAAGAAATCTCTTGCTACTTTTCACTCAAGCTGTGGTCTCTGCAGTATTGATCTTAACATGAAAAATAATCTTAATGTGTGAAAATTTTGCATTTTCTTCTCTTTCATCGTCTATGTATTTTAGGGAGACTTAGAGTATCATAAAGCTAGAGCTATTACAGACAGGCATCCAGATTAATGCAAATACAGGTAGCATGTCACTTTATTCCAGAAAATGCTATCTTTTGGTGACTACTGTCAATCAGTTGTGTGCAGCTGGCTTTTGCAAGTGATGAGGAAAAGTTACTCACTGTCTCTTTATTGTCACTTGTTGCTTGTGCACAGTTTACGGGAAATAAAAAAATTGTTTCCTATGCAACTTGGAAATAAGAAGAGTAAAGAAGACTGCCCAGAAGAGCTGGAGAAAGCAATGAAGATGGCAATATAGCAACAGATGCAAATTTTCTAAAAGCAAGGGCAGGAGCGAACAATAAATAAAGAATCTGGAAGTGACAGCAGCATTCTGGGGCCACGTCCTTTAGGAGTTCTTCCTTTCTATCATTCTGCCCCTCTACTTCTGAATCTTACCTTGTGGCTGCCTTCCATATATCCACTCCCTTTCTCCCACTGAGTCTTTAGTATTTTCAGTTTTCCATCATTTTCCCTCCGGTTGGTTCATATTGATCTAACAACCAGAGGATGGAGTAAAGAATATATATATTATATATAGACTCATTGGCTACACTGCAGTTGTAGTGGACAACACAAGTAGGACAATACAGAGCAGGGGAGGTAATCATACTACTTTGGCACTCAGGATGAATCCCTCCTGAATTTCTAGCTGATTTTCAGTCAGGCATTTAAAGGCACTGTCATTCAACAGTTTGGATTCAGAAGTCAAATGCAACTACAATGCTAATTCAGCTTATCCTATCTATAAAACCAGTACTGACTTTTTATTTTAACATAATTCTACACGCAGTTTTAGATGCCTGCAACAACAGCCATGGGAATTCAGGCATATGGCCACTACCGTATGACAGAGTGTCTTTATCTAATAATTTTTATTCTTTTCCATGTGTCTACTTGTGGGTAATAGTTCAGTGTAACAGGCATTCCATCCTTTGATTCATTCACACTTAATTTGCTTCCAGTGAAATTTTAAGATACTGCTACTACCTCTGCCAGCTCTCTGCCTCATCCCATTTCAGTCTGAGCTTTATGAAACCTGCATAATTTACTTTTCCTCTCATGCTGAGGATAATAAATACTGAATTCTCAGGAGAAACGCCAAAACATTAGATACTATTTTACAGTCATAGTCTGATTTGATTCAAAGTAGAAAGAGGTGTTGTCTCATCACATGCAAAACTGGGGCAGATATTTGTTACCTTTGCCTCAATTGCTTCATGGTACATTTAGAACATGAAGATGTGTCAATATATGCACAATAATCTAGACAACATGTAGCCTGCCTGGTAAAACCAAACAACTCGATATTGCATGCAGAGAACATGTTACATATATTTTTCTAGGCTCTGGGAAAGAAAAAAATATTATGGGTCCT